GCCCTTCGGTCAGATGACTGACAGTCAAATGGCCCAGCGACGTTTGCTTGTGCAGTGGGAAGGGGTTGGGGAGGGACATCGGTGGACGCTGAGCTGCGCGAGTAAATGATACTTCCCGGTTGCAACTGAGGAATGCCTAAAGGACCAAGATAAATGTCACAGGAAAATGGTCCACTTACTTCAAGCTTTCGTATCCGCGCTTCTAATCTGGCCCGATCGACCACATCAGTATTTGCTGCGCCATGACTGATTTTCGGCGATTCATTGTTCGTTAGGTCCATCAGCACCAAACGAAATGCACTCAGTTCACGCTCCAGCGCAGTGCATGCACGCTGACGGCACTCCATGCGCTGAGCAATGAGTGCGCGAAGTGGCTCTGTGTCGATCTTACACAAACGTGTCCGTTGTCGATCAGGTTCGGGAGCGGAGTCCTGCTCTACTTCATCCGATGTTTGTCCCCCGGAAATTGGCGATCTGGCCAAGAGTTCTTCCAAGTCAAAACCGGAATTGGAAACGTAATCATCTTTAAGGAGGCGTGATACGGAATTTTTAATTTCAGTGTTGTAGTTGGCAAGCTCCAGAAGGATAGAATTCATGTGTTCTTCGGCTATCTGGAAGAGGAAAGAGGGTCATAAGAATACGGTTGTGGCGGTGCGCATACTAGACTAACGAATAATATAAGCCCGCGGTTGATAGCTGCCAATGAAACATTTGACCAAACCGATTGCCACTGAGTGGGGTTCGTGAGTCAACGCGTCGCGCGCATGTGGGTGATATCCAGAGCAAACATGGTCATCCGGGCACAGCGGCACTGCGACGGCGTGGTAGCTCATGGTGCCTAAGTGGCAGGTGCCTATTCAGCGGTGCGACAGGAGCCTACAGCTATTCCGGTACGCAGAACTGACCGCACGACTTCGAATTGCTGCTGGCCTGTCTGTCCCATGCCGAAAAGACCAATGGGACCAATCCATCCGTCGCGCTTGCAAACGGCATTAGTTCATTCTATGGGGTATGATTGGCGGTCGCGTTGCTGAGCTGGGCAGATCAGCCATCAGAATATGTAGGCTCGACCTTCGACAGCACAATATGCACTTTTCCAGTGAAGCGACGTCAGCCGGCATTAACGTCCTTCTATGTGATCTGAAGGTCCTACCGACGCAAACTGCGCGGGCAAGTGCACCTGCCGTGTCCACTTAGCTTGCCGTCAACATGCCAAAGCCAATACAACGAACTACTAGCAGGTGAGAAGTAGATAAAACCGGTGATCAAAGTAGTATGTTTAGAGACACCGGGACGAACGGTAGGCCGACGGCCACAGAGTGCTTACGAAAAAGAACCCCGCGTCCAAGGACTCAGGAAAGACAACGTTTGAGGTTAACTGCAGATAAGTAGAGCGTTCAAGTACCGAGATGAGATACTGAGTTCGTACGCAACCCGTTAGGCGGAATTCCGTACGGATACCGCTTTACCGCTAGCAGTTGAGCGCTACCACGGTTAAGAAGCCTTTCCCGCAGCAGGTCCAGCATGAAGGCGAGCTCTGGTTGACCTAACAGCTAATCATGGTCTAGTATCCGCCGGAAGCCGGTTGCCAATGGCACATGCAAAAGGCGTCAGAATTTTCAGAATATTGTCGCCGAACACTTTGAATACGGGGCGCTGTACATGATTTCTGATCCGGTTTTGTGAGTCAATACACGTTATGCACCTTTGATGGAACGCTAGCTTGGAAGGTCCAGACCGGGAACTAGACTGATAAAAATACCATCATTACACTCGGGGCACTGGACCGCTCAAGCAGGTAGCGCAAGCACTTTAGTGGCCCGAGCTACTGACTAAGAACGTGGCTTATCCCCGGTCTATATATCGCCTGTGAGTAAGGTTGGACAACCGGAACCCTGATTCATACACAACAAAGCTAAATGAATGCGTTATGGACCATTTACCAATTATGCACGGCTAAAATAGGATCCACACGAAAGTTACGGGTGGTAGTTGGTACAACAGAACCTGATGAACTGCAGGAAAACCAATCGAATGAACTAACAGTCATAGAAGATGTAGTGTCTCCAGAATCCGTCGAACGTCCTGAAACGCAAACCGCTTGCGTCCTGGTCGATCGTGAGTTAAAGGGGGCCGGCGAACGAGCACGAAGTATGGGTGTTCGGAAAGTGGACACTTCTTGACTGGTTTCCGCAAACTTCAGGACGTGCTAAGATGAAACAACAGAGTAAAAGGTCATTGTATTGTGTGAACGATAATGTAACCAGATAAGCAGGAGTGAATGAGTGAGTAGTAATAACTCAGCAGTAAAATAATCGACCGCTTCAATTGAATACCATGTATGTAGATGTATTCGGATGCAACAACAACAACCTGATTTTACCAAAAACCCCTAAGACAGAGTTCGAAACGTGGGAGGAAAGATATGCTTACTAGTCTACCGCTATATCCCTAAAGGTCAAGAAAAGCATCCCTTCAGATGAGTCTAAATATCCCTGTCATACGTCAGTAGGAGCGTTCCCCACGACCAGTGTTTTGGTTCCTGAATTACAGTTCCACTTTCCGCTAGCAAACTAACCCTCAAGACGCGAGTAGCTGCTTGTGGCTAATGCGACTTGTGTCAATGAAGGGAAACAACCTTCACAGAACAATCTGTGTTATTCTTTAAAATAGGTTTCGGAAAATACACAACCTAAGGACAGGTAAGTATGAAAAGAAACACAACCAACGTTTAAGGGTGGAATGTGAACTAGCGTGACAAAGTCCATTTACCTCAACACGACTTCGTGAGCACACGACCCGACCAGTTAGGATAAAAGTTGCCGATGATCCAAACCAAATAAATCTTAAAAGAGGTTCGTTTACTGATCGCATTTTAGATGGAGTTCTGGAGGAATCACTAGTCTGAATTCCATGTCAGTTGGTCACTTGTAACCACGGTCCTGGGTACCATATCACATGCATTGCATCAGACTGCTTTCCACGATGTGATGCGTTTGCGCTTCAGTTGATTCAACTATAAGGAAACATCGTTCAACAGCTGCGTTCGCGGTAATGAACGTTTCTAATCATATGAATCGAGCGTGGCCGATCAGCATATTTAGCATCCAAATGGTCCAATGACGGACGATAATTCAAACGCAAGCACATTACGTGTATAGTTTGGCATCCGAAAAACTCCATGACGCATTCCCGGGGAAAAGAGAGCTTTCGTTTGCAAATAAAGACCGCAATTCACCCAGGAAATCGGAAGTAATGATTATGCTGACAGTCACGAAACATCTAATGCCGAAATGGCGCGGGTTCATATTACCTTACCCGAAACAACCTGGTGCCACGAAATTCCGTAGATGCTACTAATGGATATGGTGACGAGAAACGAATCGAAGCGTCCTCAAACAAACCACTTACCATAGTTTCGTCATAATCAGCCACTGATTGTCTTATGCAAACTAACATGACTACACGACCACTGCCTTCAAAGTAAGTTTTGAACAAATGAGTTAGTCGGGCATCACGGTAAGGGACTACTCGTGTGGTTCCCCCAGGAGTGGCAAGACCGAGGTGGCTTTGACCCATGGACTGGATTTCGCGTAGGACCTCGATGCATTTACGTAAATTCATCAACGAGTTGTTGATGTTCGCTGTAAGAACAAAAACAGATCAACTGCGGTTATCAGGGAGCGGAGTCATGCACTGTAAGTAAAAAAACATGCCTTTAAAACGCCTAGAAGATTGTCCCTCTACTCGCCCCCCCTTCCGATGGAACCTTTCACTCTAGTACCAGAAACCTATAAATGCTTCACCGGACTGATGGGCTGATGGACTGATGAGTAACAATCTCCCCGAAACAGACCGAAAAATCTTCGCAAATTTAGCTCTACTACTCAGGAAGGGGAAATGATTTCCCAACTCGGGAAACGTGAAAACCACCTGGTGCGGAAATGTATTTTTGCTTCGCTATGGCAAGCTGCTTGTCTTCGAAGCGTTCTCTTGGTTTTAACTGATTAAGTGGGAAAGTGAACTTGCTGTACGGAAGAATGGATCCACGGCTTTAGTGTACCACAACAAATCTTGAGATGTTCCTTGGGATGTGGGCTCAAGGATCTTTAAGTTGGTTGTACCAATTAGCTAGATTCCACGATGATAACCTCGTCGTGTGGCTGGTATTTCAATCTTAATGGTCCAGGTCCTTAGGCGACCATTTTGTAGGTCAGTGTGCTCTTGACTCTCAAAAGTAAAATGAATATCATACGACCGTTTAAAAACGTCATGAGACCCTGTTCAACTGATGTCAAGCAGTGGGAGATGATCCATAAATGGTTGCGCTGTCAACGGGACATTGTGAATCCCCGGGGCCTTCACTTGTTGTCACTTGAAGGTATATGGGTAGGTCAGGTACACCTCGGGTTCATAATCTCCACTACACTGTCCATGATTCAGGAAGCACAAAATTGACGCCAGTTACGGTTCGTTGCTCAAGTCTAAAGAACTATTGTCAAATCGTTTCCAAAGTGATCAGAAACTAAACAGCGCACATATTTGCAATTAATGAAATTGGTCTTCGATGAAGTTGAAGAATGATAAATTAAAATGCACATACAACCAGCAAAGACACTCAAAAGTGATCACGACTTTCAGGAAGGTTTTCTAAACAATCTATGGGTTTTGTGACGAGGTGACTTCCACCAGTTTCGACGATATCAAGTTTACCTGCCTCAGGAACTTAGCACAAGTCCGGATCGAAGGACCCCGGCTACTAAAACGACGGATACAGTTAAGTAATGCAATTTTAAAAAGGTGAATACGTTTTGAATTACCGTGGATATACATTTTAATCGCACCACTGAACTTGTTCTATTCAGCCCATTCTCCAAAACGTCACCCTAAACCGCATGATTCCAACTAAGGTTTACTGAAGGCACATTCTTTGCGAGCTACTAACTCCACTTTCAGACCGATTATCCGGTAGGATACCTATAAGTCAACAGCTCACGATTCAGATTGGTTTATCCCAGTTAGATATGCCGGTTAAGGAGGCCATCAGGATATACCATTTCAGGATAAACGTCAGTTCTTCTACTATTGGATTGCATAGAACTACGGTGGGCTGAATTATTGGCCAACATGCCGACATTAGCATTATACAATAGATGTTTTTTATGTGATGGAGAAATCTCGGGGAAACCAACAAAGAAGTACGAGAGAAGACGACTCAGCAAACGACTGTTCCTTAGATCACGACAAGGATTGCGCGGCAGTTGCTACAGCTCTTGAAATTCCGCAAAACAAGATTCCTGTTTAGACCAAAGTAGCATCCTAATTGAACTGTGAGGCAACCGCATTTCAAGTACTTTCCCAAATATTAACTCATTAAATCATGGCTTATTCAGTTAGCACGTGAAACCAGGGATGTAGCGGCTGGATTTCCCTACCTCAACCCTCCTCCGCCTGAACAAAAACCCTCCCAAAAAAGGGACTACTCTGATTAAATGTCAACGTTAGTCTCCAATGGGGAAGCAGCGGTTATATAAAATGGGCAAAACACCTACATTTGCGGACATTCCATAAAAAGTACGACGGTTCCTTTAGCCAAGTTGTCAAGGGATTGGTTCCTCATTCATTGTAATTCATCATTTATTACCCTCCCGAACCACATAACGGCAATGATAACCATAGTAAACCATTTAATTCGTCAGTTAACCCTGTATTTTCGGCGTAAGATGTCTTGATAACACTGATGTGAGGGGATGTACGGTTTTTTTTTATTTGTAAGCAACCGTGTGAGCTGTGTTCACACCAAATCAAACCTTTTGGTCCAACAAGGCTCAGTTTTACAGTCCAATTACCAAAATGGCACATGATGGCCATGACTTAGCTTAATGAAGCTCATTTTGATCCTGAAGGAGTCATTTGTCGTACCAATGTAACGGTCAGCAAAATTAGATATTTTTCGGTTATTCCCACGATAAATGTGACTTGTTCAGCGAAACATGGTTATATAGTAGGCATCCTTTATGAACAACTGTGTTTAGCGGTACGTAATCAGCTAGACTATGAACAGAACATGATTTTACATCGGTCTAATAATCGCCTAGTCATTCACGAATTAGGAAATACAGTAGTGATGAACTAACTGGAATGTTAAACACATTGGCTTTTCAACCATAACAAGCTGTCCACCGCAAAAAATAATTTCCTTCCAAGCTTACAAACGAGATCAATCTCAAAATCCAACAAACGTTTGTTTGGATTAGCCTGTTTAGTGGCACAAAGTGATAAGAATGCACGAGGGTTGTCAAAGTCAGTGTTCGCATTTATCGGAGGTAATCTCGGGATGATGAGATTGGTGGACTTGGATTTACATGACAGTGAAACTTCTACCTGTCCATAAAGCATCGTACTGTTGAGCAAAGGCTCTACGAAGATTACCAATCTTAGCTACAGGTAATTTGTGTCGGTTAGAGTTACTCAGACAAGTCGTGAGTGAAAATAAGCTGCAGACAGCCTGTAGGTAATAGACCAATTGAGGGAAGGATTCACAGGTCATCTATTGATTCCCACTAGAGACCAAAATCGTATATATATATATATATATAAATATATATATATATCAACCCATAAGGGATCACAGCAAACAACTTACAGGCTTCTTTCAGACGACCACCCTGAGTTCCTGCACGATTGGCACGTTCTGAGCCGGCCAGGTCAACCAGGCACAGTTGGCTCACGACCAAAAGGTCTTTGTTCTAACACAAAGAGGGCGAGAGACGCAGCGATAAAGTTACATGAGAATAAAATTGAAAATGTGAACCACATTGGTATATATAGATGAAAACGGGAGCATAAACCTCAGGATTCAAACAGATGAGCATATAACCAGAAATGATCAAGGTATAAGTGGTGCAAAATTTGAGGACGTCTTTAATTTATTGATCCAGTGGACAGATGGAGGCTCTGCCGTAAAATTCTCACATTACAACTGAACCTAGATCTCATGTGAGTACACATCTAAAATCGTAAACATAAGTCGCCAAATTTGTTTGCAAATGAGTGCATTTCGCTGACTTCGTGCAATTTGGTCTCAGGTAAACCATAAGGTTAACGAAAACTCGGGGACTGTGCCAACCTGATGAGACCCAAGAAAGGTGAAACCAGTCAAGGGTTGTTGAAGAATATTCAGCAACCTTATGGGTAGTGTATCACGTCTATACAAGTATCGCGATATGTCGAATATCGTAACAACTGAAACACGAGTTGGCCTGGTGCAGCACATTCAGTTGCTTGAAGACGTCATAAACGAGGGATTCAGCTGGGTTCCCGATGTGTCTCTCGAAAAACCGAATTTGTTTGTGTATTTCGCTAATAAGTCACAACTTATGGCTACTGGAAGTTAAATGACCGGTTTGAAAGATATTGTCGGCTCCTGAAAGTTTGCTCACCGTTCTTTTGCTCCTAGCAGGGCTTTTCAGGTCAGGATTGAGAGAACAGCTAACATATGAACTACTCTGTTTAAGGTAGTCGGTTAGATCTAAGTGTACCAGGATTTTCTGCGATATTTGGACGGAGCTAATGGTTTCTGTTTAGCCCAAAAACTCAACTCAGGTAGCAATGAGAACTAAATTGAGCATGAATACCGAACTGTGTCAGAGAATTACATTTCTGAAAGTGTTTGCTGTTGTTGTTGCTGTGAAACGAAAGTGTGCGAATCAAATTCACAATGCAAACGAAATTTTTGGGTTCTTCGCATGTGGATCCAACATAATTACAACCATACAACTACCAGCAGCTTTCGTTGGACTACAATGAGTCTGCTGGATAAATGGACGTAATCACTCAACGGAACAGTGTGAGATCATGATGTTCAGAAATGTAATTATGCTAAATCCGTTTTAATTAAGGCGGGAAGTGGGAACACAGCAGAAGATGCGGACGCAACAGTTTGTTCAGTTTGTAATGCTAAATACTTGAAATAGTATGTGATGAAGAAATACAAACCATACAATTTATTGCCACCAAAATGAATTCCAACCTATAGCGAATTTCGTGAAATGCTGAGTACCTGAAATATGGACGACAACAGCGTCAAGGGTGGATTTAAGCCACTGCGTTCACGTCCCCCATGTGTGTGATCTACATATTTTGGAAGACATCATCCTGCCTCGAGCGACTGTTGACCAAAAATATACTGCGTCTGATTATCCTCAAAAACTTGTTCCGAACCACGCATGAATACACTGTACTCTAGAGATTACAGAAATAAATATGAAATTCAACAAAAGTCTCAGCGGAATCCTCCAACTGAATGTGCTGCAGAAAGACCGTCTTAAGTTTCAGTTGGTTCGATAATCGATAAATCGTAGTACACTTCCTTGAAAGGGCACTACGCATAACAAGCTGAAATATGAGGCGGTCTTAATACAGCACATTCAGTTGAAAAATATCACAAATGAGTGGTTCAGAGGGGGATGAGTAACTCCCGTCATCGATATCCAAACACCCATCCTAAAGTGTGCTCTTCGTTCAGCTGTAGCACCCTTTCGGTGCCTAACTGCCATCCCACCCGAAGGAAGTACGAGGGCTGGGATAATGCCATGTTGTCCAAGCCTAGACAGGGGAAGTGGAAAGGCAGACGCATTCAAACCACGGACCTTCCGGTCAGTAAATTCGCGCTCTAACTACTGAGCATTACTGGTATCCAAACAGATATTTCTCTGTTTAAGATGAATACACGACGCGTAGTCTCAAGCAAGGAGTGGGATATAAACAAAATAGGTTTTCCAACCTGAGGTCAACAGGACACTCTTTTAGCGAAATACACTTATCTGCACCTTAATTCTGAAGCCAGTCTGTCCCTCTTAATGCGGAAACGTTCAGAGCCAACCTGTTTTGTTGTTTTCTGGGAAGGAGGAGAGCACTGACGGGGTACAAGGTAAGGACAATACTGTAATCCAACGCCTTAACGAATCCTATCAAGAAGTCATCATCATCATCGACAGCATGACATCAGTGTTCAACACCGATGCTTCACTGTCGTACAACCATAACTTATTTGAAAGCCTTATTGTAAAGAAAAGAGTAAAGGGGAGGGACTTAGTGCTAGCTTACCATAATCATTCCGAGGTGCCTACACCTCCAGACATTCACTCAGGCAATCTGGGTAGAAACTGACAACAAAAACGCCACTGACATCGGTTGGCAGCCATATCTTGTAGTGTCCCCAACCAGGCACAGTGAGGATCACG